TCTTCCAAAGGAAGGTTTGACCGTCATTGAGGCCGATAGTTTTTGGTGCTTATCCAAATTGCTTGACGGTATTCCGGTTCGTGCGAAATTTAGATATTCAATCTTAAAATTATTAAACTTATTCTTTCTTATAAAAAAAAAAAATCTCCCAGGATAATTATACATTTGCCCAGCCGGGAATACAACGTCAAATAAATAAATTGAAGGATTTAATTAATAGAATTGATGGTATTAATAATATAAATAGCGTTACATACATTCTGCCAGTAAGATCATATAAACTAATTAAAATTTGATAGAGCCCCTGGCAACACATCTACAAGAAGAGGGCTTGGAATTTATACAATTTGCTTTTCGATGGATGAATTGTTTGCTCATGAGAGAGATGTCGCTAAAGAACACCATAAGGATGTGGGATTCTTATTTGGTAAGTAACAATATACACAAATTTAGAAAAGGTAATCTTGTATATTTATCATAATTCACTTCAAATTAGGCTGAGGGACCGGATGGCTTTTCGGAATTTCACTTGTATGTGTGCGCTGCATTTCTGGTCAAATGGTCGAATAAAATAAGATCAATGGATTTCCAGGTACTTATTAAATGATAGTTCTGGTGTCGTCCATCAAACGTTAGACATATTTTTACTAATTAATCGATGTATCTGAAACAGGGAATCATGATGTTCTTACAGTCACTACCAACGTCCGATTGGAATGAAAAGGATATTGAACTTTTACTATCAGAGGCTTACATGTGGAAAAGTTTATTTCACAATGCACCTAGTCATTTATCAAGAGCATAGCCTTTAACTTTTTTTTTTCCTTTGTTACTATCATTTATATGTTATTTATATTACAATAGTCAAGTGTAGAGTTTTCTTGAGATTTTTTGGCACTTGTATAGTACATTCTAACGTTTAGCTTACATAGACATTTTCAACTGTTAAATAGATCAATTATTTTATGTGCAAACAAGGTTATACCCATTTACTAAATATTACTAATTATTTTATATTACTCGATTATTGAATATTGTGACTACCAGGTTTCTTCAAAAAAAAAATTTTTTTTAGTAAAGTCTATCTTATTCGGTTATTATTTTAAATTATCTTAATGTAATTTGGTTGAGTAAGAAAAGAATTCAAATTTTAACAACATCGAAAATGCGGCATGAGCTGCTAACACGAGGATCAGAATTAGACGGGAGGTTTTCGCTTCGGCAGTAGATAAAACTGAGTAAAGGTTTCTCGATATGAAAAAACCTGAAAAAGAAAGTTACTATTGGCGAACAGCGAGGCTAAGAGACATTCACGAGTTTACGAATATCAAATATAAAGCTCACCAGAAATTGCAAAACCTGTAATAACAAGCGTCCATCTCAGAATTTCAACAGGAATAATGCAGATAATCTTTATTAAATGAAGGAGTCGTTAGTTTGACAAACATTGCTCTCGTAAATTTTTAAAAGTAAAAAATTCACTCACTGAAATTGGAATCCACACGGTCAACCCATATCCATATAATCCTACTGTGTCTAAAAGTGAAGGTTTACATCCGAAGTATTTTAAAGCAACCCATACAAAGAGGGGGACCCCGAAGGTATAAGTGTAAATGGCAGCAACACCAAAGGACAAAATTTTAAAGTCATAACTATGATCATCATTTCCATTGATAATTGCTGCAATTGATCCCGCGATAGATGATGTTACGAAAAGTAGGAATATTACAGTTGTGGATATCCAAAAAGGGCCTAACCATAAATTAATCCACTATAAGATCTTATGACATCGAAAATATTTGACAATATACTTACCATATAAATCTGTATTGACATTAGGCCCAACCACCTCAGAAAATTCTTCTTTAGGAAAAAGACTCTTTACCGCACGCGTAAGAACCTAGAGAAAGGTCAGTAATATATTAGATCAATCAACTTCATCGTTACAATTTGGTGAATTATATAATAATACCTGATCAGTGTTCACATCGAAGTAATGAGCATAGTATTCAACCGCCCAAAATGGATGTTGGCTCCTTGGTTGTTCCGTCCGACTTGTGTGTGGCTCAAAAAACGATGCATCGTTAAATCCTTTGAGGAATTAATTCGAGTGTCAAGTATGAATAAAGAAAGAAAGAAAAGCCACAAATCTAAACTAAATACCTGAGCTAGCAGAAGTTTGTTTGCCTTGGGTAATTTTCCCATTAACACCTGATCCCGAAGAAAAATCTATAATATGCGCAGAAATTATTTAGCATCGTGACAACTCTGAAGGCGATTGCTGAGACTAACTTTTCAACCTTGAAACTCAAGTTCTTCTCTTAAAATGGGAGTCTATGCATTACGTGAAAGGAATATGCCTTAACAACATGAAAGTACTAAACAAAATTGTATGAGGATTCTCTTAAGCCTACATCATCGTCCATTTCAACCACTACGCTGTATTCTTCCCTGGCCATTTCGTATTGAGTTGTATTCTTAAAACGTTCACGTACATGTAAGAACTGAACTTGAATATACGAATACACGTATATGTACTTTGTTTCACCAATGTGCCACTTGTATAAATAATATACTGTATTAAATTATTTGTTACTTTATTGTATTTTTATAATGGATCAATTAGAAATTAAAAGATATAAAATTTTTGATTTACTAATTTTTGTATATTCAATAAACTTTTAAATAATATTGTTATTTTTAATTATAACAATTTTAGTAAATTATTAATTATAACTATATGTATATTTAATTTTTTTATTATTAAAGTTTATTTATATATTAAAATAAAATAATAGTTATTTTTAAAATCAATTTTTTAAATAATTTTAAAAACTTAAAAATTATAAGAAATTTATAAAATAATATATAAAAATAAGCTATATAAAAATATATACTTTTTAAATATATTTATTATTAATTATTTTTTTTTTTTACTTTATTTATTTTTTTAAATAAATAGTTATATTTTATTTATTGGTTTTTATAAAATAAATATATAGTTTTATATAAAATCTTTAAACTTTTTTTAAAATTTTATAAATTTTTTTTTTAATATAACTAGTATATGCTTTGTTTATTAAATATTAATTTGTAGAACTTTAAATCCGTTTAATACAAATTTTTTTTACTTAATTATTTATTAAACTATCTAAGACTAGTGTTTACTAATTAGTTTATTACTTTTCATTTCTTCTATTTTATCAATATCAATATAAGTATTAACTCTAATAAAATTGATAAAGTACTAATATATTAAGATATATATCTTTAAATTCCACCTATTATCT